TCAACTTCGAAATAGCTAATTAAACTTTTTTTTTTTTTTTTTGGTAATAAACGATGATGAAAAGAATAGTTTTCAAAAATTTTTTTGATTACCTTGAACTTTTGAACGAGTTATCTTGTGTTATTTTTATAACCTACATAAAATATCAAAATTAATTAGCTCAGTTTACTATTAATTATTATTAGACAATAAATCATGCGCAGTGAATGGTGAAATATAAAATTAATTAATTTAATTTACTATTAATTATTATTACTCAATGATTCATACACATTGAATTGATGCAATGATATGATGTGATTTAATGATTTCGTATATAAAAATATTATTTTCTAATATATTAATGCATTTAGTACTAGATCAAATTATAATTAGTATTAGATAGTAATTCATACATTCAGAAATAGCTAATTAAATTTGTTTTTTAAGCGTTAATTTTTTTTTTAAATGCCAAATCAAGTCTTATTTTATATCTTTTAGGAAAAAGTATGTCTAATCTTTTTTTTTATTTCACAATACTATATTAAACATTGAATTGAATTTGATTAAGTGAAAGGAAAGGAAAAAACTGAAAAGAATCGAATAGGATAGCAAAAGCAAACAATAAAACGGATCCTACTCTTATATTAGATCAGATCACATTTTATACTAGTTCAAATTAAATAAGCGGGTCCTATTGTTATATTAGATCAGATCTACATTTTATACTAGATCAAATCAAATAAGCTGGTCCTATTGTTATATTAGATCAGATCACATTTTTTACTAGATCTTATAAGATCAAATAAACGGGTCCTATTCTTATATTAGATCGGATCACATTTTGTGTTAGATCATATTAATTTTTTCACTAGATTAGATTATATTTTATATTAGATTAAATCGATTATTGTTTACTTTTACCATTCTATTAATTTATTTCAACTTCAGTCTTTTTCCCCTTCATTTAATCAATTTCAATTCAATATTTAATAAAATATTATGAAATAAAAAACAGGTCAAGCATACTTTTTTTTTTTCTATTAACCCTAAGATTGATAATTATTAACGCAATTTAAAAAAAAAAAGAAAAAAAAAGTTGTAAAATTTATAATTTTTATGAATTCATTTAAGAAATTATTCCTTGATGATAATTTCTTCGCCCAAATAAAGATAAGATTTATCACAACTATTTCATAGAATATAATATAACAAATGGATAATCATCCATTACTAAAATTAATAAATTTTTGCTTAACTTTCTCTATTGATTTTCTTAAATTTTATCAAACATTCCTTTGCAATATTTACTATTCTATAATTGTTATCCTTTTTTTTTTTTTTCATTATCAATGTATTTCTTTAAAAGAAAAAAAAGAAGTATTATGGAGAAATGTTCCATCACAAAATTTTACTACAAAATCTCATTTCATTATTATATAATTCATCAAAAATTTTAAACCGATTAATTGGAATTTTAAAATTTGATTACTTTCAAAAATTTAATTTTTGATCAAATATTACTTTATTATTTGAAAAAAAATTTCTTATGCATAATTAATGTATTTCATAAATGTTTTTTAAACTGATGATTTATAACAGCAATTCGACTGAATTAATTAATTAATTAACTACGATATGAGGAAGAAAAAATTTTCCGCTATACTTTAAATATATGTGTTTTTTTCCTTTTCTTTTTTTCTTTTTTTTTTTTTTTGAATATCTATTGTAGATGGTAGTACCAGTGAAATATGAAAATGCTTTATTATCAAAGCTATGAAGTGCATTGAACCAAAAAATGAAATTTGAATTTTAAAACATCAATGAAATGAAAGATAAGAAGGAGGGAATGAAGGGAAGAAGAGAGAAAACGATAGATGAATGAGGTTGTTGCAAAAGTGATGATTGACTTGAAATGTTGATTGAAATTTCAATCTGTATTTTGTCATTTCTTTTTTTTTTCCTCTCCTTTTACTTTTATCCTTTCATT